GCGCACCTCAGGGGTACCGCAGCCAATCTCACTCCACCGCTGCTCACCTGGACGGAGAGAGCGAGATGTCTGTGAGTAAGTCCTTGGCCTTCGTCTGCCAGTAAGTGAGCAGAAGGAGAAGAGGGGAGGGCGGGGCGGGGAAGAAGAGGAGAGAGTGCAAGAAACATCAGAAAGTCCTAGAGAGATGTCTGTGGGTACGTCCCTGTTACTATCGAACAGGTGGGCTGCGGAGGTCTAATGCCCATCAACTTAGATGTTATTAAGACGGCGAGACAAACTCCATGAGAATGAAAAAATGGAAGCCTGGTTAAACTTGTGTGCTAGAACGTGTTTAGAGAGCCAGTTTGATCAGAGAGATGTCTGTGGGTATGTCCCTAGAGAGATGTCTGTGGGTATGTCCCTAGAGAGATGTCTGAGGGTATGTCCCTAGAGAGATGTCTGTGGGTATGTCCCTAGAGAGATGTCTGAGGGTATGTCCCTAGAGAGATGTCTGTGGGTATGTCCTAGAGAGATGTCTGTGGGTATGTCCCTAGAGAGATGTCTGTGGGTATGTCCCTAGAGAGATGTCTGTGGGTATGTCCCTAGAGAGATGTCTGTGGGTATGTCCCTAGAGAGATGTCTGAGGGTATGTCCCTAGAGAGATGTCTGTGGGTATGTCCCTAGAGAGATGTCTGTGGGTATGTCCCTAAAGAGATGTCTGTGGGTATGTCCCTAGAGAGATGTCTGTGGGTATGTCCCTAGAGAGATGTCTGTGGGTATGTCCCTAGAGAGATGTCTGTGGGTATGTCCCTAGAGAGATGTCTGTGGGTATGTCCCTAGAGAGATGTCTGAGGGTATGTCCCTAGAGAGATGTCTGAGGGTATGTCCCTAGAGAGATGTCTGTGGGTATGTCCTAGAGAGATGTCTGTGGGTATGTCCCTAGAGAGATGTCTGTGGGTATGTCCCTAGAGAGATGTCTGTGGGTATGTCCCTAGAGAGATGTCTGTGGGTATGTCCCTAGAGAGATGTCTGTGGGTATGTCCCTAGAGAGATGTCTGTGGGTATGTCCCTAGAGAGATGTCTGTGGGTATGTCCCTAGAGAGATGTCTGAGGGTATGTCCCTAGAGAGATGTCTGAGGGTATGTCCCTAGAGAGATGTCTGTGGGTATGTCCCTAGAGAGATGTCTGTGGGTAGTATGTCCCTAGAGAGATGTCTGAGGGTATGTCCCTAGAGAGATGTCTGTGGGTATGTCCTGAGCTTCGTCTGCCAGTAAGTGAGCACGACGGAGAAAGGGAAGGGAGGGTGGGGAAGAGGGGGGGAGGAATTTCAAGAAATCTCATGAAGTACTTTAGGAGATGTCCAGGAGTAGAACCTTCAGCTTCGTCTCTGCTCTTATGCTGTCCCCCGCCCCTGCCCACGACACCCCACTCACTCACTCCCAATCATGCGCCGTACCTCTCACCCACCAGCCCAGCGCCGTAGCATTTCTCTCACCTGTTCAGTTCCTCGGAATGCCACCACAATTCTTTCCTCCGCACGTCCCTCCAAACCGCCACTTGAGTGTCGGACTGTGGGTGGTCCACGAAGCAGACCTTGTCAAACTCCGACTTGACAAACGTCTGCTGCCCGAGTGAGCTCGCCAGCATGGTCCATGCCTCCACCGCCGTCTCTGCACTCCCAAACATGCGCAGCGCCTCTTCTGTCTCCTCCTCACTCACTACCTCACTTGCTCCTTCACTCACTCCCTCACTCGCTCCTTCTCTCGCTCCCTCACTCTCCTCCCCACCAGTTTCCCTTCGGACTTAGCTGCTCCTACACTCTTCTTCTCCCCCTCGACCAATGGTAGGCTGCCAGCTGTGCTGCCAAGCAGGGCGAGCGACCCAGCACCCCTCAGTCTGCCGGAAAGCAGCCTTGCGAAGATCATCCAGGGAGGAGGAGAAAGAGGACGGCTCTTGGGAAGCAGTGACATCTGTAGTGGGGCTTGCCTGCCTGTCTGTCCCTTGCCCATCTGCCCCTTGCCCGCTGCTCTGGTCGTACCAGGGCAGGTTAATCCCAAGGTCCACAAGGCTTTTCCTCAGCTCTGCTCGCCGCTGCTCTATCCGCCCCACCAACGCACTCGTAGCCCCCTCCAGAAAATCGCCTGCTGCTGCCGCTGCATCAGAAATGCTGCTCTGTCCGTCTGCCCCTTGCCCGTTCTTCTGGTCGTACCAGGGCAGGGTGATGCCCATGTCTGTGAGGCTTCTCCTCAGCTCCGCTCGCCGCTGCTCTATCCTCCCTGCCACTACGCCTGCTGCCCCCTCCAGCAACCCTCCTGCTGCAGCTGATGCAGCAGAGCCCAGATCAAACTCACCAGAAGAAGCAGCAGCAGGGGCGGATTCACTGTTGCTGCTGCTGCTTGAACTGCTGCCAGAGGCACCAGTGCCACTGTCAGTACCACTCATTACCGCCTGACTGAGCTGGTCCAGGGTGCCACCTGGCGGGATCCAGCCTGCCCTGAGTAGCACCTCCCTCGCCAACCCACTGCCTGCCTCACCTGCTCCTCCCTGCCACTGCTACCAGTGTCAGCATTTTCTGCACTGATTTCAGCAGACCCTGTTGCTTCTGCTGCTGCTGCTGCTTGTGGTGAGGATTGGGGTGGACGACCGAGTCTCGGATCTAATCCAGACTCATTGGGAAGGCGGATGGGGCTCCGAACTGCTGGATGGCAGACCGGACAAACTCGTACGTGGAAATGGCCGGCGACGGTTGGCTGGTAGCGGGAGCCGAGCGTCGTGGGAGCGGGGAGCGGGGTGGAATTGGCAGCAGGTGTGGTGGAGGGTGGTTGCAAGGCTGAAGTGATGACGTCTTGAAAGCCGGAGACCAGAGGGAGCTGGCCTGAGAAGATGTCTTCCAGAGAGGCAGGCGCCACCTGGGAGGGAGGGGGGGGACGGAGGGGGGAGGGAGAGGGGTGTGGTGCAACGTGGAAATCCGAGTTAGCACTGCATTAGGGTAACACTGCCTGCTTGCAAGGCTGAAGTGATGACGTGTTGAAAGCGGAGACGAGAGGGAGCTGGGCTGAGAAGATGTCGTCCAGAGAGGGCAGGCGCCACCTGGGAGGGAAAAGAGAGCATGGAAGTCTGAATTAGCACTAGATTACTGCGTGGTTGCCAGGCAGCAGTGATGGTGTCTTGGAAGCCGGAGACGAGAGGGAGCTGGGCTGAGAAGATGTCGTCCAGAGAGGGCAGGGGCCACGTGGGAGAGAGGGAGGGAGAGAGGGAGAGGGGTGATGAAAAACGGGGTAGGAAAATCGGCAGTAGTGATGGTGTCTGGAAGCCCGGAGACGAGAGGGAGCTGTCCTGAGAAGATGTCGTCTAGAGAGGGCAGGCGCCACGGGGAGAGAGGGAGGGAGAGAGGGAGAGGGTGATGTAAAACGGGGTAGAAAATAAAGGCAGCAGTGATGGTGTCTTGGAAGCCCGGAGACGAGAGGGAGCTGCCCTGAGAAGATGTCGTCTAGAGAGGGCAGGCGCCACGTGGGAGAGAGGGAAAGAGGGGTGATGTGAATCAGGGTTAGGAACTGGCAAAGGCGTATTGCTTGTTGAGAAGGCTGCAGTGATGACGTCTTGTATGTATGGTAGAGCTGGCCTGAGAAGGTGCCAAACCGAGAGGCAGGCGCCTCTGTCACGGAGGGAGAGAGGAGGAGGTAAGAAATAGGGTCCGACTAGCATTAGGATATTACTGGAGAAAGACGAAGACGAAGAGGGGTGATCCTTCCCCGATGCCTGGTTGGAAGGCAGCAGTCTGACGTCTCGGAACTACTCACTTCCTCTGCTCCTCCTCCGTCTAGCCCCTCTCTCTTCCTCTCCTCCTCTGCCACCTCTTCCACCTCCTCACCGCTGCGGCAGCAGACTGCTAGCCATGATCGCCTCTTGCTTGCACCTGACTTCAAACAGCTTTAAGACCTCAAACGCTCACCTCCTACGCTCCTCCTTTCTCCCTGCCACTCACCTCCGCCTCTCCTCCTCTGCTAGCTCTGCAAAGCTGCGGTAGCGGACTGCTAGCTTCAGTGTGGCTCCTCCTCCGGCCCCTCTAGCGCAACTTCCTGCTCATGAGTCTCGCCTGTGCGTGCATGCACACACACATACGCAGCATGTGGTACAAACAGTATGAGACGCCTATATATTTGAAAGGCCCTTGAGTTTGAGACGTCTCAAAAGTCGTCTTCCAGCATGCACCCACTTGAGCACCCACAAATGCATAGACTAGTTATGAGGCGTGTATAGATTGCGATTCGACTGAACAGAAACGCATTCCGGACATGCGCGTCGAAGGAAACTTGGAACTCAATGCATATGTTCGGTCAGATAGTGGGATTGCTAGATTCCCAAGGCGGTAAGGTAGGTAGATTCTGATGCAATGAGAAAGGACAACAAGAACAATGGCAGTGACAAGGAGGTTACCATCCAGAAGATCGTCCAATCGGATGGAAGCGTTTCCGAGTCGACGGGGCGCGATGACGATTCCATCGTCCCACATGGACAGCTGTGAGAGAGTGGGGTGGGGTTGTGAGAACAGAGGTGGAACCATATGGAGAGGTGGAAAAGAGAGGGTTTGGGAGAATAGTGGGGGCATTATATAAGACAGTTGTGATTGGTGAACAGAGGGAGAGCAAACGATTGGAGGAAGCAACCATGGATAAACACGTGGCATGGCAGACGAAGGAGATGTTGGAAGAGGAGAGGAGAGCAAAGAGAAGAGGGCCAGGAGATGAATCAGATGAAAGAGGAATTAGGCAATGGGAAAGGGAAAGGAAAGAGATACAGACCAGGAAAATGGAGGTGAGAGGGGATGACAGGAGCGAGAAGAGGAAGGGTAAGAGGATGGCAAAGAGGAAAACGAATGCGAAGGTAATTCAAGCAAGAGACCAACTTTAAAAAGGGGTGTTATCTGCACCTTGAGGTACTGGGGGAGGTGTCATCTGCTTTCACCAGCAGGCGAATCTCCTCATTCCACTCGGGAGCTGTGCTCCTGGGGGTATGTGTGTGTGTGCATGGTGTGTGTGTGTGTGTGCATTGTGATGGTGGATGCACCATGCAAGGCCGTCGGAAAGAGAGGAGTGGGAGGGGTGAGAACCACACAACGTGACAGTTGAGCTGGGCGTCGATTTGAGATGCACCAGCTTGAAGGGTACAACCAACCAACTAAGAGAGTCTAGGGTTCAAGCGTGGGTCTCTAGAGTCCCTTCAACCAGACTGTTTTGAGGCACTTGAAACAGCTGATTCAGATGCACCAGCTGATGGGTACCAATCAGCTGAGACTAGGTTGATGCGCGGGTCTCTAGAGCCCTTCAACCACACTCACACCTAGCAGACCCTGGATGGAGCAGAAGAGAAGCCTAATAGCTTTGAGGCGACATGCGGGTGGACTGCTGCTGCGGTATAATGTCCATCCGAGTCCATCACAAGCGCGAAGCGGTTTAGATAAGTAAAAAAGGTGGCCAGTGAAAGCGGCTCGAAGCAGTTTTGAGTGAACACTCCTGTTCAGAACAGAACTAAGTCTAAAGAGTGAACTAAACAGCGAGGCAGTCTAAAGAGCGACTAAACAGCGAGGCAGTCCCTTGCACGCCGCGAAGCGAGCAAGAGCGGTTAAACAGCGAGGCAGTCTAAAGAGCGCTATGCTCGAGGCAGTCTAAAGAGCGGTCTAAACAGCGAGGCAGTCTAAAGAGCGGTCTAAACAGCGAGGCAGTCTAAAGAGCGGTCTAAACAGCGAGGCAGTCTAAAGAGCGGTCTAAACAGCGAGGCAGTCTAAAGAGCGGTCTAAACAGCGAGGCAGTCTAAAGAGCGGACTAAACAGCGAGGCAGTCTAAAGAGCGGTCTAAACAGCGAGGCAGTCTAAAGAGCGGTCTAAACAGCGAGGCAGTCTAAAGAGCGGTCTAAACAGCGAGGCAGTCTAAAGAGCGGACTAAACAGCGAGGCAGTCTAAAGAGCGGTCTAAACAGCGAGGCAGTCTAAAGAGCGGTCTAAACAGCGAGGCAGTCTAAAGAGCGGTCTAAACAGCGAGGCAGTCTAAAGAGCGGACTAAACAGCGAGGCAGTCTAAAGAGCGGTCTAAACAGCGAGGCAGTCTAAAGAGCGGACTAAACAGCGAGGCAGTCTAAAGAGCGGTCTAAACAGCGAGGCAGTCTAAAGAGCGGTCTAAACAGCGAGGCAGTCTAAAGAGCGGTCTAAACAGCGAGGCAGTCTAAAGAGCGGACTAAACAGCGAGGCAGTCTAAAGAGCGGTCTAAACAGCGAGGCAGTCTAAAGAGCGGACTAAACAGCGAGGCAGTCTAAAGAGCGGACTAAACAGCGAGGCAGTCTAAAGAGCGGTCTAAACAGCGAGGCAGTCTAAAGAGCGGTCTAAACAGCGAGGCAGTCTAAAGAGCGGTCTAAACAGCGAGGCAGTCTAAAGAGCGGACTAAACAGCGAGGCAGTCTAAAGAGCGGACTAAACAGCGAGGCAGTCTAAAGAGCGGTCTAAACAGCGAGGCAGTCTAAAGAGCGGTCTAAACAGCGAGGCAGTCTAAAGAGCGGTCTAAACAGCGAGGCAGTCTAAAGAGCGGACTAAACAGCGAGGCAGTCTAAAGAGCGGTCTAAACAGCGAGGCAGTCTAAAGAGCGGACTAAACAGCGAGGCAGTCTAAAGAGCGGTCTAAACAGCGAGGCAGTCTAAAGAGCGGACTAAACAGCGAGGCAGTCTAAAGAGCGGTCTAAACAGCGAGGCAGTCTAAAGAGCGGACTAAACAGCGAGGCAGTCTAAAGAGCGGTCTAAACAGCGAGGCAGTCTAAAGAGCGGTCTAAACAGCGAGGCAGTCTAAAGAGCGGTCTAAACAGCGAGGCAGTCTAAAGAGCGGTCTAAACAGCGAGGCAGTCTAAAGAGCGGTCTAAACAGCGAGGCAGTCTAAAGAGCGGACTAAACAGCGAGGCAGTCTAAAGAGCGGTCTAAACAGCGAGGCAGTCTAAAGAGCGGACTAAACAGCGAGGCAGTCTAAAGAGCGGTCTAAACAGCGAGGCAGTCTAAAGAGCGGACTAAACAGCGAGGCAGTCTAAAGAGCGGTCTAAACAGCGAGGCAGTCTAAAGAGCGGACTAAACAGCGAGGCAGTCTAAAGAGCGGTCTAAACAGCGAGGCAGTCTAAAGAGCGGACTAAACAGCGAGGCAGTCTAAAGAGCGGTCTAAACAGCGAGGCAGTCTAAAGAGCGGACTAAACAGCGAGGCAGTCTAAAGAGCGGTCTAAACAGCGAGGCAGTCTAAAGAGCGGACTAAACAGCGAGGCAGTCTAAAGAGCGGACTAAACAGCGAGGCAGTCTAAAGAGCGGACTAAACAGCGAGGCAGTCTAAAGAGCGGACTAAACAGCGAGGCAGTCTAAAGAGCGGTCTAAACAGCGAGGCAGTCTAAAGAGCGGTCTAAACAGCGAGGCAGTCTAAAGAGCGGTCTAAACAGCGAGGCAGTCTAAAGAGCGGACTAAACAGCGAGGCAGTCTAAAGAGCGGACTAAACAGCGAGGCAGTCTAAAGAGCGGACTAAACAGCGAGGCAGTCTAAAGAGCGGTCTAAACAGCGAGGCAGTCTAAAGAGCGGTCTAAACAGCGAGGCAGTCTAAAGAGCGGACTAAACAGCGAGGCAGTCTAAAGAGCGGTCTAAACAGCGAGGCAGTCTAAAGAGCGGACTAAACAGCGAGGCAGTCTAAAGAGCGGACTAAACAGCGAGGCAGTCTAAAGAGCGGACTAAACAGCGAGGCAGTCTAAAGAGCGGACTAAACAGCGAGGCAGTCTAAAGAGCGGACTAAACAGCGAGGCAGTCTAAAGAGCGGACTAAACAGCGAGGCAGTCTAAAGAGCGGACTAAACAGCGAGGCAGTCTAAAGAGCGGTCTAAACAGCGAGGCAGTCTAAAGAGCGGACTAAACAGCGAGGCAGTCTAAAGAGCGGTCTAAACAGCGAGGCAGTCTAAAGAGCGGACTAAACAGCGAGGCAGTCTAAAGAGCGGTCTAAACAGCGAGGCAGTCTAAAGAGCGGACTAAACAGCGAGGCAGTCTAAAGAGCGGACTAAACAGCGAGGCAGTCTAAAGAGCGGACTAAACAGCGAGGCAGTCTAAAGAGCGGTCTAAACAGCGAGGCAGTCTAAAGAGCGGACTAAACAGCGAGGCAGTCTAAAGAGCGGTCTAAACAGCGAGGCAGTCTAAAGAGCGGACTAAACAGCGAGGCAGTCTAAAGAGCGGTCTAAACAGCGAGGCAGTCTAAAGAGCGGACTAAACAGCGAGGCAGTCTAAAGAGCGGTCTAAACAGCGAGGCAGTCTAAAGAGCGGACTAAACAGCGAGGCAGTCTAAAGAGCGGTCTAAACAGCGAGGCAGTCTAAAGAGCGGACTAAACAGCGAGGCAGTCTAAAGAGCGGTCTAAACAGCGAGGCAGTCTAAAGAGCGGACTAAACAGCGAGGCAGTCTAAAGAGCGGTCTAAACAGCGAGGCAGTCTAAAGAGCGGACTAAACAGCGAGGCAGTCTAAAGAGCGGACTAAACAGCGAGGCAGTCTAAAGAGCGGTCTAAACAGCGAGGCAGTCTAAAGAGCGGACTAAACAGCGAGGCAGTCTAAAGAGCGGTCTAAACAGCGAGGCAGTCTAAAGAGCGGACTAAACAGCGAGGCAGTCTAAAGAGCGGTCTAAACAGCGAGGCAGTCTAAAGAGCGGACTAAACAGCGAG